CCCCCCCCCCCCCGTCAGTGATGGATGGAGGGGGGAGTTGAGCCCCCCCCCCCCCCCCCCGGTCAGTGTTTGGATGGAGGGGGAGATGAGCCCCCCCCCCCCCCCCGTCAGTGTTGGATGGAGGGGGAGATGAGCCCCCCCCCCCCCGGTCAGTGTTGGATGGAGGGGAGATGAGCCCCCCCCCCCCCCGTCAGTGTTGGATGGAGGGGGAGATGAGTCTCCCCCCCCCCCCCGTCAGTGTTCGGATGGAGGGGGAGATGAGGCCCCCCCCCCCGGTCAGTGTTGGATGGATGGGGGAGATGAGCCCCCCCCGTCAGTGTTGGATGGAGGGGGAGATGAGCCCCCCCCCCCCCGTCAGTGTTGGATGGAGGGGAGTTGAGCCCCCCCCGTCAGTGTTGGATGGAGGGGGAGTTGAGCCCCCCCCCCCCCCGGTCAGTGTTGGATGGAGGGGGAGTTGAGCCCCCCCCCCCCCCCCGTCATGTGTGGAGATGGAGAGGTCATGTTGATGGAGGGGGAGTTGAGCCCCCCCCCCCCCCCCCGGTCAGTGTTGGATGGAGGGGAGATGAGTTCCCCCCCCCCCCCCCCCCCGTCAGTGTTGGATGGAGGGGGAGATGAGCCCCCCCCCCCCCGGGTCAGTGTTGGATGGAGGGGGAGATGAGGCCCCCCCCGGTCAGCGTTGGATGGAGGGGGAGATGAGACCCCCCCCCGGGTCAGTGTTGGATGGAGGGGGAGATGAGCCCCCCCCCCGGGTCAGTGTTGGATGGAGGGGGAGATGAGCCCCCCCCCCCGGGTCAGTGTTGGATGGAGGGGGGAGAGATGAGCCCCCCCCCCCCCCCTGTCAGTGTTGGATGGAGGGGGAGATGAGCCCCCCCCCCCCCCGGTCAGTGTTGGATGGAGGGGGAGATGAGGCCCCCCCCGGTCAGCGTTGGATGGAGGGATGGAGGGGGAGATGAGCCCCCCCCCCCCGGGTCAGTGTTGGATGGAGGGGGAGATGAGCCCCCCCCCCGGGTCGGGGATGGAGGGGTGTCAGTGTTGGATGGAGGGGAGATGAGCCCCCCCCCGGGTCAGTGTTGGATGGAGGGGGAGATGAGCCCCCCCCCCGGGTCAGTGTTGGATGGAGGGGGGGAGATGATGAGCCCCCCCCCCCGGTCAGTGTTGGATGGAGGGGGATGAGCCCCCCCCCCATCAGTGTTGGATGGAGGGGGGGATTGAGCCCCCCCCCCCCATCAGTGTTGGATGGAGGGGGGATTTGAGCCCCCCCCCCCGTCAGTGTTGGATGGAGGGGGGGATTGAGCCCCCCCCCCCCCGTCAGTGTTGGATGGAGGGGGGGATTGAGCCCCCCCCCCCCCCGTCAGTGTTGGATGGAGGGGGGGATTGAGCCCCCCCCCCCCCCGTCAGTGTTGGATGGAGGGGGGGATTGAGCCCCCCCCCCCCGTCAGTGTTGGATGGAGGGGGGGATTGAGCCCCCCCCCCCCCCCCCCCCCCCATCAGTGTTGGATGGAGGGGGGGGGGGATTGAGCCCCCCCCCCCCCCCCCCCCCCCCCCCCCGTCAGTGTTGGATGGAGGGGGGGATTGAGCCCCCCCCCCCGTCAGTGTTGGATGGAGGGGGAGATGAGCCCCCCCCCCCCCCGTCAGTGTTTATTGCTTTCTGTGTCCCTGTGAGGGAGATTTCTCCTCTCCACTTCCTGTCCCATAGCCACACCAGGAAGTAAAGGGAAATCTCCCCCCAATGGGGCACAGATGGGCACAGCACAAAGCAAAACCCCTGTGATGGGCCCCTGAGGGCCCATTCCCACATTTGTCCACATGGAACGCTGCGGTCAGGGCAGTGACTGTTTTCTGTGTCCTCTGCAAACCAGAATGCTGAGATGTTCTGCGTCCCACAACCGTGCAGTATGATGCAGAATATCGCACCTCTTCTCTGCAGGCTCCCCTAATGACGTGTCCGTGTACCCTGCAAATAAAGTTCATTCACGCAGCACACTGCCTCCCCCTGGCACTGCCCGAGGGCCCGGGGTCAGTAGGGGGCCCCATGTGATGCCCCTGGTACCTTTCATTGGCTTTTCCATAGGCTTTTTTAGGTGTGGGTAAGGACATGGGCCCCATGATCCCCTATTGCCTGGGGGCCCCATGAGTTGTCGGCCTGCCCCCATCCATGCAATGTGTCTGCTGTGTCCTCCCCTGTAGGGTGGTCCTGTCTGCAGTCTGGGCTCCTCCCCCCCCCCCCCCCATCCATGCTATGTGTTTGCTGTGTCCTCCCCCATAGGGTGGTCCTGGCTGCAGTCTGGCTCCTCCCCCCCCCCCCCCCCCAATCCATGCTATGTGTGTGCTGTGTCCTCCCCCCATAGGGTGGTCCTGGCTGCAGTCTGGCTCCTCCCCCCCCCCCAATCCATGCTATGTGTTTGCTGTGTCCTCCCCCCATAGGGTGGTCCTGGCTGCAGTCTGGCTGCAGTCTGGCCTCCTCCCCCCCCCCAATCCATGCTATGTGTTTGCTGTGTCCTCCCCCCATAGGGTGGTCCTGGCTGCAGTCTGGCTCCTCCCCCCCCCCCCCCCCCCCCCCAATCCATGCTATGTGTTTGCTGTGTCCTCCCCCATAGGGTGGTCCTGGCTGCAGTCTGCTCCCCCCCCCCCCCCCCCCCCCCCCCCCCCCCCCCCCCCCCCCCCCCCCCCCCCAATCCATGCTATGTGGTTGCTGTGTCCCTCCCCCATAGGGTGGTCCTGGCCTGCAGTCTGGCTCCCCCCCCCCCCCCCCCCCCCCCCCCCCATCCATGCTATGTGTTTGCTGTGTCCTCCCCCATAGGGTGGTCCTGGCTGCAGTCTGGCTCCCCCCCCCCCCCCCCCCCAATCCATGCTATGTGTTTGCTGTGTCCTCCCCCATAGGGTGGTCCTGGCTGCAGTCTGGCTCCTCCCCCCCCCCCCCCCCCCCCCCCATCCATGCTATGTGTTTGCTGTGTCCTCCCCCATAGGGTGGTCCTGGCTGCAGTCTGGCTCCTCCCCTGTAGGGTGGTCCTGTTTTCAGCCGGGAGTGGCTGGGAAGCTGCATGTGATGTGGCCAGGAAGCACATTTCTGTTCGAATTGAATTCTATTCTTTGTGGTGCAATTAGCGTCCGTGAGCACAAATCACACAGCAAAGAATCGCTATCGGCGGGTACTTGACTGAAAGTGTTGGTAGTCGTAGATGCCGGCATCGGTGGATCCGTACAGTTTGGTGGTCGCCGGCATCGGTGGATCCGTACGGTTTGGTGGTCGCCGGCATCGGTGGATCCGTACAGTTTGGTGGTCGCCGGCATCGGTGGATCCGTACAGTTTGGTGGTCGCCGGCATCGGTGGATCCGTACAGTTTGGTGGTCGCCGGCATCGGTGGATCCGTACAGTTTGGTGGTCGCCTCCAGTGCTCCCTATACACAGGCTGTCTGTATAATGTACTATTATTATACAGTATTTATAAAGCACCAATGGTTCGCTCAGCGCTGTACATTACAATGGGAGACAATACAATACATGAGGGGATCGAGGGCCCTGATCCTGGGAGCTTACAATCTAGGAGGGGGGGGATGGTGGCACAGGAGGAGATAGCTGTGGGGGATGGAGTGGTAGGAAGAGTGGAGGAGGGAGGCAAGTTAGCAGGGGGTGGGGTAGGCTTCCCTGAAGAGATGGGTTTTCAGGGTGCGCCTAAAGGAGAGGAGAGTAGGTGATAATCTGATGGGTTGGGGCAGGGAGTTCCAGAGGATGGGTGACACCCTGGAGAAGTCCTGGAGGCGGGCATGGGAGGAGGAGACTAGGGAACTAGAGAGAAGGAGGTCTTGTGAGGAGCGGAGTGTGCGTGTTGGGTGGTACTTGGATATTAGGTCAGTGATGTAGTTCGGGGCAGTATGGTGGACGGCTTTGTACATCAGTGTTAGGATTTTGAATTTGATCCGTTGTGCAATCGGAAGCCAGTGGAGGGATTGGCAGAGGGGGGTGGAGGACACTGAATGGAGGCCAGTGGAGGGATTGGCAGAGAGGGGTGGAGGACACTGAATGGAGGCCAGTGGAGGGATTGGCAGAGAGGGGTGGAGGACACTGAATGGAGGCCAGTGGAGGGATTGGTAGAGGGGGGTGGAGGCTAGTGGAGGGATTGGCAGAGAGGGGTGGAGGACACTGAGTGGAGGCCAGTGGAGGGATTGGCGGAGAGGGGTGGAGGACACTGAGTGGAGGCCAGTGGAGGGATTGGCAGAGGGGGGTGGCGGAGATGGAGCGGTTGGAAAGGTGAATGAGTCTGGCAGCCGTATTCAGGATGGACTGAAGCGGGGATAGCCTGTGGCGGGGCAGGCCAGTGAGGAGGGAGTTGCAGTAGTCGAGGCGTGATATGATGAGGGAGTGGATGAGCTGTTTAGTGGTTTCTGGGGTTAGGAACATGTGGATTTTGGTGATGTGCATGTTGCGGGGGCGGAGTCTGCGGGGGCAGTCTGCATGTTGCGGGGGGCGGAGTCTGCATAAGTTTGTTAATGATTGGACTTGGGGCTGGAAGGATAGGTTGGAGTCCACAATGACACCCAGTACTCTGGCCTGCGGGGAGGGACTGATGGTGGTGGTGTTGGATGTGATGGAGAAGTCAATGTTAATGTATGAAGACGTCTCCTCTTTGTTGTCCCCGGTGTTCCTGTTTTCCCTCTGCTCTCCTATTACTGACCACACTAGGCATGAGAGCTCAGCTTGGGGGGTGTATACAATGTGTTTGCATCAGGGGTGGACTGACCATTTTGGAAACTTGGGCACTGCCCGAGGGCCTGGGGTCAGTAGGGGGCCCCATGAGATGCCCCTGGTACCTTTTTTCATAGGCTTTTTTGAGTGTGGGCAAGGACACAGGGGCCCCATGATCCCCTATTGCCTGGGGGCCCCATGAGTTGTCCGTCCGCCCCTGGTTTGTATCTATAGACAGATGTTTCTATGTTACTCTGAATGTTTTACAAGGTGAGGGTCACGTGGACTTTTACTAAATGTTTTCTCTTCCTCCTCCAGTGAAAGCAAGTTAAACACATTGGTGCAGAAACTTCACGAATATTTAGCTCATTCCTCAGAGGAGTCTGAGGACACAACTTCACCGACCAGACAATCCGGGGCCAAGAGTGCAGCAAGGGCCAAATCCACACACAGACTGCTCCCTATGGAGACCAGCATGGAAGAGGTAAATCCCCGGGCAGTCCCCCTGTGTATGCACTCCTTGCCCCCCCCCCCCCCTCCCCCTCCCCTGGCTGTAGGTACACCTCACTCCCACCCCCCCCATGTAGGTACACCTCACTCCCACCCCCCCCATGTAGGCACAGCTCACTCCACCCCCACCCCTGGTGTGTACACTCCTCAGCTTCCTGATCTTGGTAAGAGAAGTCCTCTTCCCGTCTCCTGATGGTTTGGTTTTGTTTCCTCCAGGGAGGATCCTCGGAGAAGACCAGACTCCTGGGATCATCTCGCTCCAAAAGGTAATCCTCCCGACTTCTATCATCATTCATCTGTTGGTGGATCCCAGACTGTCCCTGGAGACCGAATCTGAGCCTCAGCAACCACCGACCCTCATTCCTCCAATCTGTCCACAGACACCATTTGTCTTCTGTCCTGGCTGCATTGTGAGATCCGCCGAGAATACAAAGTCGTACGACAATTACCCATTTCATTGATGTTTGATAGCGGAACAAAAGGGTTTATTTCTCCTGTGCGTAACGCCCCACATAGAGGAGGAGCATTGCAACGGTTTGTTCCGCTATCAAACCTCAATGTATTCTCTGAAGACTCTGTATCCTCCATCTGTCTGTGGTGCCGCCCGCCTGGGGGCGGGCTGTCTGTGGTGCCGCCCGCCTTTGGGGGGGGCGGGCTGTCTGTGGTGCCGCCCCCTGGGGGGGGCGGGCTGTCTGTGCTGCCGCCCGCCTGGGGGGGGCGGGCTGTCTGTGGTGCCGCCCGCCTGGGGGGGGGGGCTGTCTGTGGTGCCGCCCGCCTGGGGGGGGGCGGGCTGTCTGTGGTGCCGCCCGCCTGGGGGGGGCGGGCTGTCTGTGGTGCCGCCCGCCTGGGGGGGCGGGCTGTCTGTGGTGCCGCCCGCCTGGGGGGGGCGGGCTGTCTGTGGTGCCGCCCGCCTGGGGGGGGCGGGCTGTCTGTGGTGCCGCCCGCCTGGGGGGGGCGGGGCTGTCTGTGGTGCCGCCCGCCTGGGGCGGGCGGTGCGGGCTGCCTGTCTGTGGTGCCGCCCGCCTGGGGGGGCGGGCTGCCTGTCTGTGGTGCCGCCCCGCTTGGGGCGGGCGGGCTGCCTGTCTGTGGTGCCGCCCGCCTGGGGGGGGCGGGCTGCCCTGTCTGTGGTGCCGCCCGCCTGGGGGCTCGGGCGGGGGGCGGGCGGGCTGCCTGTCTGTGGTGCCGCCCGCCTGGGGGGGCGGGCTGCCTGTCTGTGGTGCCGCCCGCCTGCCTGTCTGTGGTGCCGCCCGCCTGGGGGCGGGCGGGCTGCCTGTCTGTGGTGCCGCCCGCCTGGGGGTGGGCGGGCTGCCTGTCTGTGGTGCCGCCCGCCTGCCTGTCTGTGGTGCCGCGCCCGCCTGCGGGCGGGCTGGCTGTCTGTGGTGCCCTCCTCCTCCTGTGAGACCCCCTTTGTACTGTTCCCATCTCTTGGACTGAGCCCCCCCAGATCGGGCTGACCTTGACTCCGGATGATTTGTTTCTGTGGTGCCGCCCCTTGGGCGCTCTGTCTGTCTGTGGTGCCGCCCCCAGATCGGGCTGACCATGTCTCCGGATGATTTGTCTGTAGGAAGCCCAGCTTTGTGACGAAGTATGTGGAGTCTGACGAGGATCCCAAAGAAGAAATCGTAATAGCGGACACAAACTCGGATCCTGAGGTGGACATGGAGAGCCTGCCTTTAGGTATGTGCGCTCTTCATTTTGGGGGTTATTATTGGTTTTCTTCTACTTCTGTAACCTAGATGACGTAGTTTTTTTGGTGGGGGAGGTTCAGACCCTCAGTCAGGCTTCTGCCCCTTCCCCCTCTGTGGGTGGGGCGGGGCAGAGCTCTGTGGGTGGGGCAGTGTGGGGGGGGCGGGGCGGGCCGGGGCTCTCTAATAAGGCAGATCCCTGATTTTTGGTTTGTGTTGATAGAAGTAATGGTGGTAGAGGAATCCTTAATTCTTTCAGGGACCGTTGTGGTGCAGCCGGAGCCGGTTCTAAATGAAGACAAAGATGACTTCAAAGGACCAGAATTTAGAAGTCGAAGCAAAGTTAAAACTGACCCTTCGTTGTCCAAGAAACGTCCAGGTAAGTCAGCATGGCAGAGATCCTAATGTGTGTGTCATATCTTAGACAGAGGCAGTCGCTCTCCGGGTCGTATCTTAGACAGAGGCAGTCGGTCTCTGGGTCGTATCTTAGACAGAGGCAGTCGCTCTCCGGGTCGTATCTTAGACAGAGGCAGTCGCTCTCCGGGTCGTATCTTAGACAGAGGCAGTCGCTCTCCGGGTCGTATCTTAGACAGAGGCAGTCGGTCTCCGGGTCGTATCTTAGACAGAGGCAGTCGGTCTCCGGGTCGTATCTTAGACAGAGGCAGTCGCTCTCCGGGTCGTATCTTAGACAGAGGCAGTCGGTCTCCGGGTCGTATCTTAGACAGAGGCAGTCGCTCTCCGGGTCGTATCTTAGACAGAGGCAGTCGGTCTCCGGGTCGTATCTTAGACAGAGGCAGTCGGTCTCCGGGTCGTATCTTAGACAGAGGCAGTCGGTCTCCGGGTCGTATCTTAGACAGAGGCAGTCGCTCTCCGGGTCGTATCTTAGACAGAGGCAGTCGCTCTCCGGGTCGTATCTTAGACAGAGGCAGTCGCTCTCCGGGTCGTATCTTAGACAGAGGCAGTCGGTCTCCGGGTCGTATCTTAGACAGAGGCAGTCGCTCTCCGGGTCGTATCTTAGACAGAGGCAGTCGTCTCCGGGTCGTATCTTTCACAGAGGCAGTCAGTCTCCAGGTCGTATCTTTCACAGAGGCAGTCGGTCTCCGGGTCGTGTCTTACACGGCGTCAGTCGGTCTCCGGGTCGTGTCTTACACGGCGTCAGTCGGTCTCCGGGTCGTGTCTTACACGGCGTCAGTCGGTCTCCGGGTCGTGTCTTACACGGCGTCAGTCGGTCTCCGGGTCGTGTCTTACACGGCGTCAGTCGGTCTCCGGGTCGTGTCTTACACGGCGTCAGTCGGTCTCCGGGTCGTGTCTTACACGGCGTCAGTCGGTCTCCGGGTCGTGTCTTACACGGCGTCAGTCGGTCTCCGGGTCGTGTCTTACACGGCGTCAGTCGGTCTCTCCGGGTCGTGTCTTACACGGCGTCAGTCGGTCTCCGGGTCGTGTCTTAGACAGAGGCAGTCGGTCTCCGGGTCGTGTCTTACACGGCGTCAGTCGGTCTCCGGGTCGTGTCTTACACGGCGTCAGTCGGTCTCCGGGTCGTATCTTAGACAGAGGCAGTCGGTCTCCGGGTCGTATCTTAGACAGAGGCAGTCGGTCTCCGGGTCGTATCTTAGACAGAGGCAGTCGCTCTCCGGGTCGTATCTTAGACAGAGGCAGTCGCTCTCCGGGTCGTATCTTAGACAGAGGCAGTCGCTCTCCGGGTCGTACCTTAGACAGAGGCAGTCGCTCTCCGGGTCGTACCTTAGACAGAGGCAGTCGCTCTCCGGGTCGTATCTTAGACAGAGGCAGTCGCTCTCCGGGTCGTATCTTAGACAGAGGCAGTCGCTCTCCGGGTCGTATCTTAGACAGAGGCAGTCGCTCTCCGGGTCGTATCTTAGACAGAGGCAGTCGCTCTCCGGGTCGTATCTTAGACAGAGGCAGTCGCTCTCCGGGTCGTATCTTAGACAGAGGCAGTCGCTCTCCGGGTCGTATCTTAGACAGAGGCAGTCGCTCTCCGGGTCGTATCTTAGACAGAGGCAGTCGCTCTCCGGGTCGTATCTTAGACAGAGGCAGTCGCTCTCCGGGTCGTATCTTAGACAGAGGCAGTCGTCTCTCTCCGGGTCGTGTCTTGTACGGCGTCAGTCGCTCTCCGGGTCGTGTCTTGTACGGCGTCAGTCGCTCTCCGGGTCGTGTCTTGTACGGCGTCAGTCGGTCTCCGGGTCGTGTCTTGTACGGCGTCAGTCGGTCTCCGGGTCGTGTCTTGTACGGCGTCAGTCGGTCTCCGGGTCGTGTCTTGTACGGCGTCAGTCGGTCTCCGGGTCGTGTCTTGTACGGCGTCAGTCGGTCTCCGGGTCGTGTCTTGTACGGCGTCAGTCGGTCTCCGGGTCGTGTCTTGTACGGCGTCAGTCGGTCTCCGGGTCGTGTCTTGTACGGCGTCAGTCGGTCTCCGGGTCGTGTCTTGTACGGCGTCAGTCGGTCTCCGGGTCGTGTCTTGTACGGCGTCAGTCGGTCTCCGGGTCGTGTCTTGTACGGCGTCAGTCGGTCTCCGGGTCGTGTCTTGTACGGCGTCAGTCGGTCTCCGGGTCGTGTCTTGTACGGCGTCAGTCGGTCTCCGGGTCGTGTCTTGTACGGCGTCAGTCGGTCTCCGGGTCGTGTCTTAGAGGTGATGGGTAGAAGAGTCCTGGTACATGTGGGCACAGGTTTTGGGGGTCCTCCAGGCCTCCATAGTAGTTATTAACCCCTCGTGTTGTCTGGTTTTGCAGAGGACGGCCTCCATGGAATCGTTAGCTGCACCTCCTGTGGACAACAAGTCAATCACTTCCACAAGGACTCCATTTATCGGCACCCCGCCCTCCAGGTCCTGATATGTAAGGTAGGGCCCCGTGGTCCCGTCTCTGGTATCTGTCCTCCTTAGTTTGGATTTCAGGTATTTTCAGGCATGTTCCTCTTCTTCATGCATTTCCAGCGGTTGGTCGTCCCCTCGGGCGTTCCTCTGTGACTGACCAGTAATGATTGGATGAGATCCATTATTCTACACCTCATGACGCCCCCCCCCCCCCCCCCTTGTATTTAACATAGAAATCTGATCTCTGGGGACTGACCGGGTCCATTAGCGGGTCACACCTCAGCTGAACCTCTTCACCCCTCACCCCTGTATGGACCAGAGCCGTTCCTCCATGGGCCTGATTATCATCTCCAATAAGGAGACTGACTGGGTCCATTGGCAGGTCACACCCCCAGCTGAACTTTTTCACCCCTCAGCCCTGTATGGACCAGGGCCGTTCCTCCATGGCCCTCAGCCCTGTATGGATCAGGGCCGTTCCTCCATGGCCCTCAGCCCTGTATGGACCAGGGCCGTTCCTCCATGGCCCTCAGCCCTGTATGGACCAGGGCCGTTCCTCCATGGCCCTCAGCCCTGTATGGACCAGGGCCGTTCCTCCATGGCCCTCAGCCCTGTATGGACCAGGGCCGTTCCTCCATGGCCCTCAGCCCTGTATGGACCAGGGCCGTTCCTCCATGGCCCTCAGCCCTGTATGGACCAGGGCCGTTCCTCCATGGCCCTCAGCCCTGTATGGACCAGGGCCGTTCCTCCATGGCCCTCAGCCCTGTATGGACCAGGGCCGTTCCTCCATGGCCCTCAGCCCTGTATGGACCAGGGCCGTTCCTCCATGGCCCTCAGCCCTGTATGGACCAGGGCCGTTCCTCCATGGCCCTCAGCCCTGTATGGACCAGGGCCGTTCCTCCATCCAGACCTGAAGTGGTTAAAGTGGAACAATACTTGCGTCTACTCCAGAGATGTGGCGTTCTCCAGTTCCCCGCCCAACCGCTGACATCTTCGGGCACCCGGCTTCCAGGTCTCAATAGCTGGCCGCGGTCATTGGCCAGGCAGGGACAATGTCACCTTTTGGTACAAATGTTTCTCTGTTGAACATCAGTGCAGGAAACACTTTTTACGTATGCAGCTTGATGGGAATGGCTGTATGGAAAGTCAAGGATGTCACCAGGGAAGAGGACCCTTTTCCCCCAACAAAAGAAGGCCAAGCCTCAGAATGGAAAACCGTTCACCTCCAAGAATCGTTCCTGTTGCTTTTCCCAGGCCTCCAAGGCAACACCTGGGATTTGGTTCCAGTCATTTATGCCTTCCCTAAATCCTACAAACATGAGCAAGTTGTCCTCACAATGAGGGAATCCCAGCTTAGTAGATTGGTGGGGGAGTCTGTTGGTGTTGTTCGTGTCCCCTGGTAGACGGATAGTTGGCATTTAGGTCCAGAACTTGGTGTCCCGGGTCTACAAGCGGGATTTCAGTCTCTACTTCTGCCTCCGAATCACTCTGGTAAGGTCCTCTCTTGTAGCCATTCCAGGAAAGGAGATCTTCCAGGGCTTCTGCTCAGACCTGTTTATGGTCATTCATCATTCTCTACCCATTCCTTCAGGTATGGAGATTCCACATGGAATCTTCAAGGACAGTCCTTGCTTTCCTCTGCGAAAGGGACCTTGTGGCCTCTGGAGGGGTGGTGTCCTGCTGCAAGGGTGGCCTCATTCCTGGCTTTCAGCTTCAAGAAGGGTCCATCTTTCCCCCGTAGGAAAACACTCTGCTGGGTCACACGATGAGCTCTACAGCATCAGCCAGCTGGTCTTCTAGTATCATTTTATCAAAGGTTTGCCAGGCTGGTCAGACCTCGCCTGATGCCAGCTTTGGGGTTGTAGGCCTCTCAGCAGGTTGTTTGCTTGTTGCCTACTCCTCACTTGGATTGGTTTTGTATGTCTGTGTACCTGGATTACCATTCTGTGCGATTACCGCAAAATACTTCTCTGAGTGCTTGGAAATCCACCAGTCGTCTTTTTTTTTTTTTTTTTTTTTTTCTTTTTAATTTTTTTATTATTATTTCAGGCACTTTTATATAGCGCAGTCAATTTACGCAGCGCTTTACATATATATTGTACATTCCCATCAGTCCCTAACCCTCAAGGGGCGTACAATCTAAGGTATCTTTTTACAGTTTTACACAAAGCAGCCTTGATCCTCCTCTTCTTGTGCCCCCCCACTGGCGCTGCAACACCGCAACCCTGCCTCCAATCGGTGCCCCAGAGCAAACCACTTGCTATGTGGGCTCACTCCCCAGCCAGCTCTGCATGTCCATGGGTTCGCCCCCCCCCCCACTCTTCCAGTGGAAGCCAACGAGGAGGGTGTACTATACATGTCTTGTGTAGTCTGAAGTTTTTCTAGATGTGTGAAGGATGTTGATGTCCCCAACAATTTCACTTTGTGTTACACCCAAATACCTGTTGTGAGCCAGGGATCCTCTCTTCGTACCCGCTGTTGCAACTTACAAAAATAAATCTGGCTTTTCTGGGCTCTTGGCCGTTCAGGGGCTGCATCATTCATTCTAGGGCTCTGGGCCGTTCAGGGGCTGTTGGCCGTTCAGGGGCTGCATCATTCATTCTAGGGCTCTGGGCCGTTCAGGGGCTCTTGGCCGTTCAGGGGCTGCATCATTCATTCTAGGGCTCTGGGCCGTTCAGGGGCTGCATCATTCATTCTAGGGCTCTTGGCCGTTCAGGGGCTGCATCATTCATTCTAGGGCTCTGGGCCGTTCAGGGGCTGCATCATTCATTCTAGGGCTCTTGGCCGTTCAGGGCTGCATCATTCATTCTAGGGCTCTTGGGTTCAGGGCTCTTAGGGCTCTTGGGCGTTCAGGGGCTGTTCAGGGGCTGCATTCATTCATTCTAGGGCTCTTGGCCGTTCAGGGGCTCTTGGCCGTTCAGGGGCTGCATCATTCATTCTAGGGCTCTGGGCCGTTCAGGGGCTCTTGGCCGTTCAGGGGCTGCATCATTCATTCTAGGGCTCTGGGCCATTCAGGGGCTCTTGGCCGTTCAGGGGCTGCATCATTCATTCTAGGGCTCTGGGCCGTTCAGGGGCTCTTGGCCGTTCAGGGCTGCATCATTCATTCTAGGGCTCTTGGCCGTTCAGGGCTGCATCATTCATTCTAGGGCTCTTGGCCGTTCAGGGCTGCATCATTCATTCTAGGGCTCTTGGCCGTTCAGGGCTGCATCTCTTAGGGCTCTTTTCAGGGCTGCATCATTCATTCTAGGGCTCTTGGCCATTCAGGGCTGCATCATTCATTCTAGGGCTCTTGGCCGTTCAGGGGCTCTTGGCTTTCCAAGGGCTGCATCATTCATTATAGGGCTCTTGGCCATTCAGGGCTGCATCATTCATTCTAGGGCTCTTGGCCGTTCAGGGGCTCTTGGCTGTCCAAGGGCTGCATCATTCATTATAGGGCTCTTGGCCATTCAGGGCTGCATCATTCATTCTAGGGCTCTTGGCCGTTCAGGGGCTCTTGGCTGTCCAAGGGCTGCATCATTCATTTTAGGGCTCTTGGCCATTCAGGGGCTCTTGGCTGTTCAGGGGCTGCATCATTCATTCTAGGGCTCTGGGCCGTTCGGGGCTGAATCATTCTTTCAGGGTTGTCGGCTTGTAGCTCTCGGTGAACTACCAGGGTGCTGTTGAGAGCTCTGAGTAGTTTATCGATCCTGCTTTACAAGCTATACTGTTGGTCTGCAGGAGCCTGAGATTGCGCCTATAACCTGCTGATTGCCGGTGCAATGCTCTGCAGGCTCCTTTGAGAAATTATTATAAATGCACTTTTTTTTTTTTTTCACCTGCAAAAATCTGTGCATTTATTTATTTAAAGATGATCTCCTTTTGAAGGAACACTTAATGAGTGATTGATGTTTTGTCTGGAGGGGATCCGCCTTTCATCTAATATTTGTCCCTTTCTCAATGTTTCTGTTTAGACTTGCTTTAAGTATTACATGAGTGATGACATCAACCGTGATGCCGATGGTATGGACGAGCAGTGCAGGTGGGTGGCCGCGTGTTTTTGTTTTCACAGTGTATAGAAATGCGTTGGAGAAGTGTCCTATAACCCCTGGATGCCAAACGCATGCAAATATGCAGCCTCTCGGCGTCTGGGCCTTGACACCGGGCTGCCGCGTATTTGCATGCAGTTTTAAAATACATATGTGCTGAGAGCGCGCGCTCCAAGCCCATATGTCTGTGACTCACGGAAAGGTCCCGATCTCCCCGTGCAATCAGGTCCTTTAACGATCATGTGACGGCGAATCATGGCGGTCACATGACCCTAAAATCCCGGCTGCTGAAACTCTTAAAGGGTCGGGAGGCGCCGGCACAAAGGGGTTAAGTAGAATAATTTCCGTTTTGGTAAACTTGCTACCTGTGAGATTCTTCCCTAAGGCTCGGTTCACACCTGTGCAGTTTGCGTTTGATCCATTTCTGCAGTGCTTTTTGTGGTGTGTTTTTGCATTTTTGATGTGTGTTTTTATTTTTTGGATAACTTGTTGCTGGGCAGATTCAATATGCATCAAAAACGCACGCAAAACGCAGCACTTGCATTTTAAATGTAGTTCCATTGAAGTCTATTGGCCTAAAACGCAAACTGCTGCGGGAAAAGTAGTCCCTGACCTTTTCCAAAAACGCATTGATGCGAATGTGACCCATGATAAATGGCATGCACTGCAAATGCTTAAATAGAACCGCACAGGCGTGGACCTGGCCCAACTGATGCCTCTGTTTTTCTTGCACACGTGAGTCTGTAAAGCGGAGACTTGCTGCAGTTCCCCTTTAACAATGCTGTCTTGCGTCTAGGTGGTGTGCCGAAGGAGGAAATCTCATTTGCTGCGATTTCTGCCACAACGCCTTCTGCAAAACCTGCATCCTTCGGAACCTCGGGCGGAGAGAGCTGTCTACTATTATGGATGAAGAAAGCAAATGGCAATGCTATATCTGCCAGCCGGAACCCTTGGTGGACTTGGTGGCCGCGTGTAACACTGTGTTTGACAACTTAGAGCAATTGCTGCAACAAAACAAAAAGAAAATTCGGGTAGAAAATGACAAGGGCAAGGTTTGTGACCAAAATCAAAAAACCTCAAGCTGTAATGGACAAGAAAAACTTGCCAGTTCCTATTCTGGGGCAGTGACCTATTCGTACAAAGCACTTATGGTGCCTAAAGACATGGTAAAAAAAACAAAAAGAATAGCGGAGACGACCAACAACCTAAATAAGAGCTTCATCAAGTTCCTACGACAGGAATCTGAAAACGTGGTCATTAACTCCAGTAATAGGATAAGACAGCTGAAAGCCTTCAAATCTGTCTTGGGAGACTTGAGGAAGGCCCATGAGGCCCTGGAGGAGACTCTGGCTTTGGAGCTTGCATCGGCTCAAAGGAAAAAATCGTCGAAGAAGAGCAAGGATGTGACCAACGAGTCCAAACAGTCAAAAGAGAAAAAGACAAACGAACAGGATGGCGAACGCCAGAAATCATCCACCAATGCACGCGACGGGGAAAAGGTGACCAATTGTGAAGGTGGAAAACACAAAGCCTCTGAAGAGAGACCAGAGAGAGACCATAATGGGAAGCAGATTGAAGTTCTGGATGATGATGATGAGAAGACCTGCAAAATGATGAGGTGAAGGAGGTGTCCCCTACGAAGGAGAGTTTAGATGATGCTGCTATGGAAGTGGAGGATGTCGAGCTAGTGGAAGACGTTGTGAAAACCGACACAGAGCAGGGAGCCGAACAAGAGAACACCGATGGTGATTCCGACTTGGGGAGAGAAGAGCTCCAAATCCGAGAAAAGCAGAAAGAAAAAGGCAACCAAAAAATCCAGACACGCCTCAGGTGAAAGTAGGAGGAGAAACTCAGACAAGCCCAAGAAAGAGCATGCGTCCAGTGCCGAGTCCGAGGATGACAATTCACCAAAAGACGCAAAATCCCGCACGTCTCAGAACACCAAAAAAGACCAATCCTATGAACGGAACGCCGGAGAACCTCTGGACATGGACATAGTCTCTGTTCCCTCTTCAGTCCCTGAAGATATATTTGATAGCTTGGATTCTGAGGCCCAAAACTCTCTCAATGATTCTGCCTTAAAAAGCAGCAAAAAAGATGACAAGGAGCCCAAAACCTCCGTCAAAAAGGAGCTGATTCTGAAACTGACTCCCTTGTCCTTCAAGGGATCGAAGAGCTCCGAGAAGACTCCAAACAAGAAAGCCAAAGGCTCTGGAAGTGATGATGCCGGGAGCTCCGGCAACGAACATTCATCCGACAACGACCCCAAACGACGGAAATCTCCCCGCGTTAAAACGACGCCCAAGAGGCGTCAGAATGAAGCCGTGCCCTTGTCCAATACAGAGGAGGAAAGTAGTGCCGATAAGGAGAAGAAGAAGTCTAAAAGTGAATCAAAGCCGAAGGGAAGGAAAGAGAAGCACTCCTCTGCAGACAGGTCCGCCAATTCAAAAAGTAGAAAATCCAAAAAATCCGATGAGAAAACGCAGAAAAGTGGTTCTGACTCCGACGAAATGCCAGAAGTCCTCAAAAAGGCGGCTTTGATGAGCAACTCCTCATCTGAACCTGACAGCGATACGGAGACCAAAGCGGCCAAGGGGAAAGACCGCCAGAAGGGCGGAGGGAAGAGGAAAAGGAAGAGTTCTAGTTCTGGTACCGAGGTGACCAAACGGAAAACCAGAAATTCTACAGCTGCTAAAAAACAGTGTGCAGAGCACTCAGACTCCTCCAACTACGACTCTGATCTGGAGAAGAAGATCCAGAAACTGGGAAATATTGAGGTTGCCAAGAAATCCACCCGCAAGAAAACCAAAAGCTACGAGGAGAGTGGCTCCTCCGCCGAGGAAAAGGAGAGCAAAAAACACAAACAAAAAAATAAACCCTCCAAGGAGCGCAGCAAGGCAACCAAGGCGAAAAAACAATCTGCCTCGTCGTCTGACCTGTCGGAGGACAGCCATGACCATGCGAGCCATCATTCCGGGGACGGCAGTGAGGATGAGCAGAAGATGAAACCCTTGGTGGAAAATGAAGTTCTAACCAAAGCAGAGTTCTGCCAGTCCTCAGGTATGATTGTCCACCTTTTATAATTACCACACCTCCATGTCATCACAGTATTTCCTATGATTGTCAGCGCCACCTAGTGGCTGTATTGTGCTATTGTCCTGATTCATCCAACCTGAGAGCCTAGCCTAGTAACATACGATCGTTCTTTTACAGGATAAAAGGCTCTGAAAGTTTTATAAATCATGTCTTTAAAGTGGAACTTCACTCTGTTCATATTGGCTGTTTGTAATCCGTATGCAGCCATTGATGGTAAATATAGGAAAGTATCATCGTATGTTCTTCATATTCAGAGGAAACTCCCCCATTCCCCATCTCTCTACCCACCCACACCTCCATGCTTTAGTGATCTGAGAAATCACTACGAAAAAACGCCCCCTTTTTTCTTTTCCTTTTTTTTTTTTTTTTTTTTTTTCCTTTTCAACATTTCTTCAGTCACTTTCTGGTTTCCTTGCCTAGGCAAACGATGTCCTACATCCCAGGAGTCTTCAGTCGGAGAGGGGTTTTTCTGCTAAGCACACCCTTCTGCCTGCATGCCTGAGCTAAAGGCAGATGGTTAAGTTAGCATTTACTTCCTGGAATCCATCTTTTACTCAAGATGGCTACAGCCAGAAATGCTACTAGGGTGTTTTTTTTCTTTTTTTTTTCAGAGTGATTTCTCAAATCAACAAAGCATGGAGGGCGTGGGTGGGTAGAGAGATGGGTGAGTTTTCCTCTGAATGTTAAATTAAATCATTTTTTTTTTTGTGGCGCCTGGAAGAAGTGAAGTTCACTTCAAAGTAATTTTCTCCTTTTCATCTGGATGGAGTAGTGAGGCATATACAGGTGAAACTCAAAAAAATGAGAATCTGGTGCATTCATTCATTGATTTCAGTGCAGCAACTTAAAAGGTGACACTAATATATGAGACTCATTCCATGCAAAGCAAGATAGTTCCAGCCGTGATTTGTCATCATTGTGATGATTATGGCTTCCAGCTCATGAAAACCCCAAATCCACAATCTCAGAAAATGAGAATATTCCATGCAATCAATAAAACACGGATTGTACATAGAACAATATCGCACCTCTGAAAAGTAGAAGCTGCATATGTACTCAGTACTTGGTTGGGGCCCCTTTTGCAGCAATTACTGCCTCAATGCGGCGTGGCATGGAAGCTATCAGCCTGTGGCACTGCTGAGGTGTTATGGAAGACCAGGATGCTTCAATAGCGGCCTTCAGCTCTTCTGCATTGTTCGTCTCATGTCTCTCATCTTTCTCTTAGCAATGCCCCATAGATTCTCTATGGGGTTCAGGTCAGGCGAGTTTGCTGGCCAATCAAGCACAGTAATCCCACGGTCATTGAACCAGGTTTTGGTGCTTTTGGCAGTGTGGGCGGAGCCAAGTCCTGCTGGAAAATGAAGTCAGCGTCCCCATAAAGCTCGTCTGCGGAAGGAAGCATGAAGTGCTCCAAAATCTCCTGGTAGACGGCTGCGGTGACCCTGGACTTAATGAAGCACAGTGGGCCAACACCAGCAGATGACATGGCTCCCCAAATCAACACAGACTGTGGGAAACTTCACACTGGACTTCATCTTGCAGTGTGTGCCTCTCCATTCTTCCTCCACTCGGGGTCCTTGGGCCTCTCCGTTCTTCCTCATACTGCAGGTCCTTGTGCCTCTCCGTTCTTCCTCCATACTCGGGGTCCTTGTGCCTCTCCATTCTTCCTCCATACTCGGGGTCCTTGTGCCTCTCCATTCTTCCTCCATACTCGGGGTCCTTGGGCCTCTCCATTCTTCCTCCATACTCGGGGTCCTTTGGCCTCTCCATTCTTCCTCCATACTCGGGGTCCTTGTGCCTCTCCATTCTTCCTCCATACTCGGGGTCCTTGTGCCTCTCCATTCTTCCTCCATACTCGGGGTCCTTGTGCCTCTCCATTCTTCCTCCATACTCGGGGTCCTTGTGCCTCTCCATTCTTCATCCATACTCCTGGTCCTTGGGCCTCTCCATTCTTCCTCCATACTCGGGGTCCTTGTGCCTCTCCATTCTTCTTCCATACTCGGGGTCCTTGGGCCTCTCCGTTCTTCCTCCATACTCGGGGTCCTTGGGCCTCTCCGTTCTTCCTCCATACTCGGGGTCCTTGGGCCTCTCCGTTCTTTCTCCATACTCGGGGTCCTTGGTTTCCAAATGAGATGCAAAAGTTGCTCTCATCAGAAAAGAGGACTTTGGACCACTGAGCAGCAGACCAGGTCTGTTTTTCTTTAGCCCAGGTAAGACGCTTCTGACGTTGGTTTGTTGTTCAGGAGCAGCTTGACAAAAGGAATACGACATTTGAAGCCCATGTCCAGGATCCGTCTGTGTGTGGTGGCTCTTGATGCACTGACTCCAGCCTCAGTCCACTCCTTGTGAAAGTCCCCAACACTTTTGAATGGCCTTTTCCTGACAATCCTCTCCAGGCTGCGGTCATCCCTGCTGCTTGTGCACCTTTTTCTTCCACACTTTTCCCTTCCACATAACTTTCTATTAATGTGCTTTGATGCAGCACTTTGGGAACCTCCAACTTCTTCTGCAATGACCTTTTGAGGCTTTCCCTCCTTATGGAGGGTGTCAGTGATGGTGTCAGTCAGCAGTCTTTCCCTCCTTATGGAGGGTGTCAGTGATGGTGTCAGGTCAGCAGTCTTTCCCATGATTGTGATTCCTACTGAACCAGACTGAGAGACCATTTAAAGGCTCAGGAACCCTTTGCAGGTGTTATGGCTGAATGAGCTGATTAGAGTGGGACACTTTGAGCCGAGATTATTCCACCTTTTCACAATATTCTCATTTTCTGAGATTGTGGATTTGGGGTTTTCATGAGCTGTAAGCCATAATCATCACAATGATGACAAATCACGGCTTGAACTATCTTGCTTTGCATGGAATGAGTCTCATATATTAGTCTCACCTTTTAAGTTGCTGCACTGAAATCAACTTTTGCACCATATTCAAATTTTTTGAGTTTCCCCTGTAGAACATTTTCCCTGTGTCCCTGCTGAGGGGGGGGGGGGGACTCCGGGGACTCCACCATTCCCCCCCCCCCCCCCCGATTCCCTACCTATCCGGCATGTCAGGAATGTTTGGCTAGATATACGTTGTACAGAATCTTTCAGAGTTTAGATGAAATTAGGTTCCAGATAGAAGTTTGTTGGACTAGCCCCCCCTCAGTGATATATTTTGTATCTGATTTCCATTCCGGTCTCCCCCATGATGTGGGTTGAGTTCAGCTCTCTCTCTGGGGTGTCACTCTTAGTAAATAGCCGTGTAATGGCCGGCTTCTTCTGAGGTCTTTACTAGAGTCCTGCAAGGCTCAGATTCTGTAGCAGCTTCTGTGCCATTGGCTGCAGATTCTGTATGATTGCATTGCTCCAGTCTCTGAGGAGTCCATTCTCTGCTGCTGCTGGTCCCAACTGAAGAGGGACCGTTTCAGCTCTTATCAATGCCGTGTGCGCAACTCTGAAATTGGAGGATCAGCCTGCAGCTTCCATCGGGGCTGCCTCCAGTCTTTGCTTCTTTTAAAATAAAAAGACCACAAAGACGTTTCCTGTGACATTCCAAGTCATCTTTTATGGTGGTTGGAAAGTTCTGAGAAGGTTTTCTCCTTCACACTCATCCACTTAGAACCTACTGGAAGACTTTTGGAAGACGTGGCCTAACCCCACCGTGTAACCTGCCATGTTCTGCCTTCACAAAGCCACCACCTTATCGTAGGGGATGCCCCGTGTTTAAGGACAGAACCAGTAAACGGTTGGAAGTCTTCTCTATAGCTCAGTTCTCACTGCTAGGTCCCGCCTTTCACCCCATCTGTGGTGTGACCTGACCCTGCCAAACATTGGCTGTGTGGAAAGTTCTTTGAAAGAGATCTCTGCAATGCTGGGGTTGATTCCTTGATTAACCAATTCAATACCGGGCAATTTTACACCTTCCTGCCCCCCAGGCCATTTTTCAGGTTTCAGCACTCACACACTTTGAATGACAATTGCGCAGTCATACAACACTGTACCCAAACTAAAATTTTATCATTTTCTTCACACAACTAGAGCTTTATTTTGGTGGTATTTAATCACCGCTGGGGTTTTTATTTTTTTGCTAAATTAACAAAAAAAGACCAAAAATTTTGAAGAAAAAAAAAATTTCTTTGTTTCTGTTCTAAAAGTTTGCAAATAAATAATTGTTCTTCATAAGTTTAGGCCCGAGATGTATTCTGCTACATGTCTTTTTGGTGAAAATAACCCAAATTAGGATGTATTTTTTAGTTTGTAGGAAAGTTTATAGAGTTCACAAACTATGGGATAGATCTGAATATTGATCAATCCTGAAGTACTGACGGCCAATCTTAATTTCTTGAGGTCCAAGAATGTCAGAATAGTACAGGTTCCCCCAAATGTCAGGTGGACAGATATCCCCCAAATGTCAGGACGGTACAGATATCCCCCCAAATGTCAGGACGGTACAGATATCCCCCCAAATGTCAGGACGGTACAGATATCCCCCCAAATGTCAGGACGGTACAGATATCCCCCCAAATGTCAGGACGGTACAGATATCCCCCCAAATGTCAGGACGGTACAGATATCCCCCCAAATGTCAGGACGGTACAGATATCCCCCCAAATGTCAGGACGGTACAGATATCCCCCCAAATGTCAGGACGGTACAGATATCCCCCCAAATGTCAGGACGGTACAGATATCCCCCCAAATGTCAGGACGGTACAGATATCCCCCCAAATGTCAGGACGGTACAGATATCCCCCCAAATGTCAGGACGGTACAGATATCCCCCCAAATGTCAGGACGGTACAGATATCCCCCCAAATGTCAGGACGGTACAGATATCCCCCCAAATGTCAGGACGGTACAGATATCCCCCCAAATGTCAGGACGGTACAGATATCCCCCCAAATGTCAGGACGGTACAGATATCCCCCCAAATGTCAGGACGGTACAGATATCCCCCCAAATGTCAGGACGGTACAGATATCCCCCC